AAAGAAACCTCTCTGTGATTTTAATATTTTTCCCCTACAGAAAGACGTCGAATCTTTATGCCAGTATAACTGCTTAGCTACAAACAAATAGAATTAAACAAATACCCACACTTTCACTAAAATAGCTACAAACAAGTAACACCAATTAAAGACCCATATTGGTTATAATACCTGCGACTAACTAAAGTGAACAAAGACTGCTTAGCTACAAACAAATAGAATTAGACAAATACCCACTTTCACTAAAATAGCTACAAAAAAACTAACACCAATTGAAGACCCATATTGGTTATAATACCTGCGACTAACTGAAGTGAATAAAGACACCTTTTGATTAAAATACCTACAAATAACTGAAATTAATAAAGACCCATTTTGTTAAATGAGGTTTAAGCTAATCTTGCTTAAACTTAATTCAGTTCTCCTCCTCCACGAAGAACCAAATTAATAAGTACTTATGTGATTGTATAATACTTGTAAGCTGTTAATTACCATCCTGTATTTTGGAGAAATGACAAGTAAAATGTCTTGTAAACGTAAGAAAACTCGGTGGTTTGAAAAGAATGTTATTCTTTGTTTTCTACCAGTGCTATGAATTCTGAAAGAACCTATCAGATATAAATATACTTACAGAATGTTTGAAATTACAAAGTTTCAAGCCTTATATAATTGTCCTTAAAGTCAGTTATTAAACCAAAGTCAAACTTCTTTAAAAATCTCATTCTATCCAGAGAAAGTTTTAAACTTGAATGTGAACTTTTTTCAAAATTCACATTGTGTTCCCCAAAATTTTAAAACTGAGCTCTCAAAAGTTTCATTATAACCACACCAAAGTTTCTAGCTGGAGCCCAACACTCTTTCAAAAGTGTCATCGCGGCCACCAAATCCTTAAAACTACTTCAAAAATCTCATTGTAATCACCAAAGTTCCTCAGCTGAAGTCCCGCTTTAAAAAGAATAAATTTTGGTGACAAGGCTTTTAAAACTAAACTTTTGCCCAAAATTTCATTCTAACCGTCAAAATTTCTATCGGAAGACGTTCCTCTTTAAGAAATCTCGTCCTGGTTTCTAAGGTTTGAAAACTAAAGTTAAGATCCTTTTAAAATCTTATTCTAACCATCAAAGTTTCTATCAAAAGACGTTCCTCTTTAGAAAACCTCGGCCTGGTTTCTAAGGTTTGAAAACTAAAGTTAAGATCCTTTTAAAATCTTATTCTAACCATCAAAGTTTCTATCAAAAGACGTTCCTCTTTAGAAAACCTCGGCCTGGTTTCTAAGGTTTCAAAACTAACATTAAGATCCTTTAAAAGTGTTATCCTAACAATAAAAATTTTAAGCGTGAATCAACTTTTTTTTTTTAATTTACATTTCGGCCACCAAATCTTTAAAACTACAATTTTTAAAAGTTTCATTCTAGCCACCAAAGTTTTGAACTCGAAGTCGAACTAAGATAGTTAACATTTTATAAAAGATAATCCTAATCTCGATAGGATTAAAGCTTAAACTAAGTTATTTCACGAACGTGTCAGTGGTCATCGAGTTTATGAAACTAAAACTAGGTCCTTTAAAACTTTCATGGTGACCACAGAATTTTAAAAACATGACCTAATGCATTAAACAACATCTCTTCGTTGTTGTTGCAGTTTGAAACCAATGCCCTTTTAAAACCTTCACGGTTACGATCCGCTGATAACTTTGTTATCTTGCACTACAATTGTCACGCAGATTTGTATAAGCTATAAAATGCCTTATATAAATTCATCATATTTATATAGCCATATGTTACGCATACGAATGTACACACAACCAAATTCACTCTATGTTATACTGGTTTCGTAGCAGCCACCTCTAGAATATTCTGGGTAACTTTGAATAATGTGTTTGATTGTATGTAGTCTAAGCACAAAGCTGCACAATGGGCCATCTGTGCACTGCCCATCACGGGTATCGAAACCCGGTTTCTACTGTTGTAAAACCGCAGACATACCGCTGTGTCACTGGGGGGTGGGGCAACTTTGAATAGAGAATGAAAGTATTCAGGAGAAGTCTTGATACTAAAAAACTAGCATATGATGCTACAAAGTCGGTTTAATATCAGGAAAAACTCCGACTTTGTAGCATCATATGCTTCCTGATATTAAAAAAAACTAGCATATGATGCTACAAAGTCGGTTTAATATCAGGAAAAACTATAAAGAATATTTTCAGGAAAAAAAAGAAATTAAGGATTAGGGTTTTGTTTTAGGTATCCATCTTGAAATGGAACTTTGTGTTATAGTTTATATATAGGTTTATGGTAACATTTGCTTTGAAAACCTTTTCCGAAACTGGCTGTTTTAGTATTTAAAAATGGTAGGGTGGAACTTCCATATTAATAGTTTATATACATTTCAGTATTCCAAAATGTTTTTTGTGTGTGTCTTGTTCTTCGTATTGGTTCCAGCCTTTGTTTTATTATTATTATTACTCACACTACTTGGGTCCTTTTATTGTTAAGATGATGTAGGGCTAATTGTTTTGTGGGTTTACAATAAGCATAAGTACACAATGATACGTAGTTTAACCATCGAAGAATTATCAATCTTAGTTTAAATTGTTCAGACAAATACGTTAGTTAAAATCGTAAACACATAAGTTATCATTAAAGAATAATTTTTCTTACACAGTAAGCTGAAAGGTATAAAGTATTAAAAAAAACCTTACCTGTATAGCATTGGTAACGTTCCAGCCCGCTTGCCATTCGGAAATTTGACTTTCTCGGCCTCCGAACTCTCCCTCTCCCCCTGCGTCCGTACTAGGGACAGTGCCGTTCAATTTAGAGTTGCCACCCTGTCGTTCGCCGCCCTTTTCATCAAAGCTATCGCTACTGCGGCGGTCGCTGTCTTCTTCTCGGAAAGAGTGGAGCTCTGTGTCGTCTCGGCCATGACCGTGTTTGGCAAAGTGTACAGTCTCCTGATCTTCCTCTTTCCAACAGGAGTCCGGTAAATACGACGTAACCGACTTCATGGTGTCCACAAAGCGATACAAGTACCAAGACATTGTGGTAAATGGAAGACAATTTTCAAAGTATTTCCAACAACCAATAAGTTTAAAAAGCTCCCTAAAGATAGTCCTCTCCTTCAACCGAGATATACTAAAGTTTTAAGTTACTTTTATGCCAGTGGTATCACTTTCACGTTTTCACAATAAATATCAAGATAAGGATGATTAGATTAAATACCACAAGTCTAAGCAGGACCGGAACTTGAATTAAATACAATCCTTGGCTAAATATGAACTTGGAAATTTTCTATAGTTTAGACAATGTTATTCAGTTTAGGATGAAATAATACTTTATATACTGTACCTTTCAAAGGAATATTTACGTAAAATCAATGTCCATGACATTTAATATATAGCACTATCCGCACATCAAGAAGCTTGGTATACTCACCACAGCATTGCAATATTTTTTTTTCAAAATAAAGCGGTGGCATAAATAATGTAAGGTATCCAACCCAATTGGCGAAATTTTAAGATATTACAGAGTTTTCCTGATAACGGTTTGGCAGTTTTATATAATCTAAATACTTTCAAGTTTTCTTCCGAAAACGTTCATGAAATTTTCCTCGCAGTGCAGAATTGACAAAGAATATGATAGGCTTACATTACTGTGGATCTTTATATTATATCATAAGTTGTGCTGGCACTGGTGTTGTTGAAAATCCAAAATGGCGGATAAAATGCAACTCGTAGAGGTGCTAGCGTCGAGAGATTTACAGCAGATTTAATTTCCTTTCGATCCGCTCCTGAGAAATTTGCAAAAAGACTATTAAATGAACTTTTAAAAGCAATCTTAAAGTCATCAGTATTTTTAAAATCAAGCTAAAAAATAGTTTAACTAAAAAGACATACTAACAAGACGGTTTTTGTTTTTCGGTTCGGTGATACACCTGTGGATATGCAACCAGCCTGTTCACTCTTCTTCTAACACGTTTATTTTCGGTCGTCAAAGTTTCTATGATCTTATCACCCTTAGCATTTAATTGTGATTGCCTCTAGGGCCTGTCTACATTCTGTTTCTCGTCTTCTATCCTTTCTTCTTGCATCTGACGACTTCTTCCAACGCATCCGGGTCTTTGCAGTGTAACAGCCCACCTAGAGCTTGGAGAGTCTGCGGATAGGGCTAAACCACTAGAGATGCGTGCGAGAGAACAGCACAGACTTCTGTGCATTTGGCAGGTTTGGATAATGGCGCATGCGCTCACGGACGAAAGAGAAAAGCTTCCAGAAATACGGCGTAGGTTACATACAACTCTAATGTTTTGTAAAGCATGGTTTCCGAACATTTGCAATAGTGTGAAGCATTTCTTTACCTTATTCTGTTCTGAACTTCAAGGGTGTTTGGAAAAGCAACACTGCAAAATAAAAAGCAGAGGATATCGTCGGTGTTGGTATGTATTTCAACTACATTGTGCTATTGATTACGTTTTCTTAGTTTGAAACTTTCTGAGTAAATGAAAAATGTGTTTTATTTTAGTGTATGTGTTTACTAATTAGAATCAGTATTAATAGATTTTTGTTTGTTCTATTATTAATGCTCTTGTTTATTTAAGGAAAATTATCTGCTTAGTTATGGCAAATGTTGTTTGATTAAAGAGATTGTCTGTTTAATTAATAATGGTTGATGGTAAATGTTGTTTAATTAAAGATAGTGTATGCATAATTAATAATGGTTGATGGTAAATGTTGTTTAATTAATAATGTTGTTTGATTGAAAAGAGTGTCTGTTTAATTAATAATGGTTGATGGTAAATGTTGTTTGATTAAAGAGATTGTCTGTTTAATTAATAATGGTTGATGGTAAATGTTGTTTAATTAAAGATAGTGTATGCATAATTAATAATGGTTGATGGTAAATGTTGTTTGATTGAAAAGAGTGTCTGTTTAATTAATAATGTTGTTTGATTAATGAAGATCACTGTTAACGACAGGGTTTATGTAATTAACGAATATGACTGCTAGTTAATGCTAGTGTTTGTTTAACGAAAAGGACTGCTAGTTAACACTAGTGTTTGTTTAACGAAAGCGACTGCTAGTTAATGCTAGTGTTTGTTTAACGAAAGTGACTGCTAGTTAATGCTAGTGTTTGTTTAACGAAAGTGACTGCTAGTTAATGCTAGTGTTTGTTTAACGAAAAGGACTGTTAGTTAATGCTAGTGTTTGTTTAACGAAAGTGACTATTAGTTAATGCTAGTGTTTGTTTAACGAAAGTGACTATTAGTTAATGCTAGTGTTTGTTTAACGAAAGCGACTGTTAGTTATTGCTTGTGTTTGTTTTACGAAAGTGACTGTTAATTAATGTTAGTGTTTGTTTAAAGAAAGTGACTGCTAGTTAATGCTAGTGTTTGTTTAACGAAAAGGACTGCTAGTTAACACTAGTGTTTGTTTAAGGAAAGCGACTATTAGTTATTGCTAGTGTTTGTTTAGCGAATGTGACTGTTAGTTAATGCTAGTGTTTGTTTAACGAAAGCGACTGTCAGTTAATGCTAGTGTTTGTTTAAGGAAAGCGACTGTTTAGTTAATGCTAGTGTTTGTTTAACGAAAGTTACTATTAGTTATTGCTAGTGTTTGTTTAAGGAAAGCGACTATTAGTTATTGCTAGTGTTTGTTTAGCGAATGTGACTGTTAGTTAATGCTAGTGTTTGTTTAACGAAAGCGACTGTCAGTTAATGCTAGTGTTTGTTTAAGGAAAGCGACTGTTTAGTTAATGCTAGTGTTTGTTTAACGAAAGCGACTGTTAGTTAATGCTAGTGTGTGTTTAGCGAATGTGACTGCTAGTTAATGCTAGTGTTTGTTTAACGACAGTGACTGTCAGTTAATGCTAGTGTTTGTTTAACGAAAGCGACTGTTTAGTTAATGCTAGTATTTGTTTAACGAAAGCGACTGTTAGTTAATGCTTGTGTTTGTTTAGCGAATGTGACTGCTAGTTAATGCTAGTGTTTGTTTAACGACAGTGACTGTCAGTTAATGCTTGCTTCAACAGTACCAGCTCATTACAACAAAACGTTATTCAAATTTTGCATGAACAAGCTGTTTTTGTTCTGTTTCATGCTCATTTTAGTATCAATCGCGAAGATTCATAAACTGTAGTAGTAATAATAAAATATTCTACTGATGTTTTGAAGTGTTTTTGTTTTATAATTGTTCAACTAAATGAAAAATATATTTAAGCAAACTAATCAAAAATCAAAGGTTCTTTTAACTTCCGCTTAAGTCACTGCTAGTAATAACACAATTAAAAGTTTTGAATACGGTAAATTTCAGGGCTAGTAACGCTAAAGTTCGGTGTTTAATCGTCTTGGCCGAAATAGCGCGGGTTATACAGCTTTGCACTACAACACAACAAAAAGAACAACCACAAAATATGCTTGTTTGTTGACTAGAGAAGTGGTCTAGTAATTATAAATATATTCTCGTACATAGTTAACTGTCTGTTCTAATTCAACGACTAATCAGTTTTATCTAGTAATTATAAATATATTCTCGTACATAGTTAACTGTCTGTTCTAATTCAACGATACTTGTTTGTTGACTAGAGAAGTGGTTTTATAATTACTAGATGTACGAGAATATATGGTTGAATTAGAACAGACAGTTAACTATAAAACTGATTAGATTTGTTAATAGTCAGTTAATAGTACAAATGCAATTAATGTTGTTTGCGAACCTGCTTTTAAATAATTAGAATATGCATTCTTTTGCGTCCTCAGCTTATAAAAGACGAACATGTAATGGAGACATTGCATTTTTGAATACTGATATGTTTCATCATCTTTTTCATTGACAAAAAGTTGAAAATGATCCTATTGTTTGAAAATGTGCCTTCTTGAGCCAAACTTTTTTGTCAATAACCGAAAGTGTAGAGAGGAAGCTAATAAAATATTTTTATTTCGGTTTCTCCATGGCGTTTGATATTTCTTTAACTTTTTCAATTGTGTATACGTGGGGTTTTCCTTGTATACTATGTGCCCTGTTTCATTTCCGAAAAGACAAGATAATTGAATTCATAAAAGATTCAATAAATCGTTTAGAATTAGCCTAGAAGTCTAATCAAAAACTGTCCATCGAGCTATTTGTTTCTGTTCGATTTTTAAGATTCTTTAATCGTCTACGTGTAGTAATAAAATTGTTTCGTAATATGAAATATTTTACTGTTGTATATTCTAATTCATGGTTGAAGAGTTAAATATAATAAAATGTGAAACCTTTCCCTGTGGTTATAGATTCTATTTCATAGTTGAAGAGTTTTGTTTGGTTGTTTGTAATTAAGCACAAAGCTACACAATGGGCTATCTGTGCTCTGCCCACCACGGGTATCGAAATCTGGATTCTAGCGTTGTAAGTCCGCAGACATACCGCTGTGCCACTGGGGGGCAATTGAAGAGTTAAATATAATAAACTATGAAATATTCTTCTGTGTTTCCAGAAACGTTCTTTAATATGAAGTAGTGATTTTTTGTTTGCGAATCCTTCGCTGAAATCAACAGGAGGGATATTGTAAGGTTCCATTCAAGTTTCCACGTAAGATAAAAACAAGGTAAACAAATACACAACTCTACAATTTATATGGCAATAAAAACCATAAATAATGCAATTTTTTCAAGCATTACAATGTAACAAATGTTTGTAAAACATGTCAGCAAAATATCTAAAATGATCAAGAAAATCTGGCGCTATTTTATATATATATATATATATACTATTTTTTTGTCAGTGGTGGTTCAGTTTGTTCTTTCTCGGCCTTTTACCAAATTTAGGTTCTACTTTTCTGTTGTTTTGTTTTGTTTAAACACAAAACTACATAATTGGTTAACTATGTTGTGCCTACCCCACGGATCGAACTCCAATATTTTCAATTACAATTCCTTGATTTTTACCACTGAAACCTGGAATGCTCCCATCTGGATTATATTTACTTGTTGAAATGTTTTGATATTATCCGAATTATTCTTCTCTGCTTTGTTATTGAAACAAGTCAAACGTATATACAAGTGTTCTTTATATGCTGATTATCACAATTTTATCCAGAGCTTTAAATAATCATCCCTCTTGGTCAAAGTCCACACAGACTGGTTCAGTTATTTTAGAACACAATTGAGAAAACGAATTCTTCATCTCTGCCGTTTTATTAGAATACAATCGGTGATAATTTCATTTTCGTTACACTGTTGGTTTTTTGTTGTTATTATTTTAGAACACAATTGACAAGACAAATTATTCTTCTCTACTCTGTTATTACTATACAATGTGTAATAATTTCACTTTAAAAGTCGCCACTATACACTCCTTATGACTATTAGTTTAGATCTATGTATCTAATTACTTAAACGAAAAGAGTCGTGTATATCTAACAATTATGTATTTTTTATTCATTCTGAATATTTTACAAACAGTGTTATAATTTGAGATTATAAAAATCTTTAAAATCAAAAACAAAAGCGCTACGTAATGATTACATTATAACCATAAATTCTGTACCAAATCTGTACTTTAATCAAAGAATTTGAAATTATATATATATAATTTTAGAGATTCGTTGATACTGCAGCGAAAATGTATCATGGCCAGGTGGTTAGGGCGCTCGACTCGCAATCTGAGGGTCGCGGGTTCGAATCCCCATCACACTAAACATGCTCGTCCTTTCAGCTGTGAGGGCGTTAAAATGTGCAGCTCAATCGCATTATTAGTTGGTAAAAGAGTAGCCCAAGTGGTGTGTAGGGATGACTAGCTGCCTTCCTTATAGTCCTACACTTGTAAATTAGTGACGGCTAGCGCAGATAGCTCTCGTGTAGCTTTGCGCGAAATCCAAAACAAACAAACAAACCTACAGGCTTTGAGCACTGTCTGACACACATTATTTTAAATTGGGTAACACGTTTATTGATATATTGATAAAGCCTTATTGTCTTAAAAACATTACTTTCATTGTGCTTCGTTTGAATTTATTAAATGTTCATTTTTGACCACTATGACAAATTCTGTCAGACAGTTCTTTTGTAAATACGGATACAAATGAAAAAAAAAATTATTTTATCGAGTACACAATTGTGCCAAACC